AGAGAGAGAGAGAGAGAGAGAGAGAGAGAGAGAAAAAGAGAGACACACACACTGGGGATTGAACCCAGAGCCTCAGGCATGCAATTTCTTTGCCACTGAATTACATCTCCAGCCCTACTCCCTTTTTAAATTCTAAGACAAGGTCTTGCTAAATTGCTGAGGCTGGCTTTGAACTTGTGATCCTCCTGCCTCAGCCTCCCGAGCCATTGGAATTACAGGCATGTGCCACCACACAGGATCTTTTGGTCTTCCCAGAGGGGCTTTTAGGGAAGGGGATGGTAAGGGAGGGCAGAAGAAAGGGTGACATGATCAAAGCACAGTGTGTAACATACGAAAATGTCACACTGAGAACCATCAACTTACACAACTAATATATGAATAATTGTGATAAATATAGATGCACATCCCAGCAGCTCGGGAGCTGAGGGAGGAGGATCACAAGTTCAAAGCCAGCCTCAGTAAAAGTGAGGAGCTAAGCAACTCAGTGAGACCCTGCCTCTAAATAAAATACAAAATAAGTCTATAGGGCTGGGGATGTGGCTCAGTGTTCAAGGGCCCCCGAGTTCAATCCCTGGTGCCTTCCCCAAATGAAACAAAATATATGTATATATACGTGTATACACACACACACACACTCACACACACACACACACGTTAACCAAAGCCTTTTTCTCATCAAGTTGCTTCTCTTCCTAACCCTTTCCTCTGCGTGGCATCATTGTGCCCCCTACAGACTGTTCTATGTGCAGTGAAGTGTTCCTGGTGTGACTGACGTGTGACTGGAGGGACGTGGAGACCTGCTGAACTGGCTGTGAAGGGCAGGCGGGCCACGCAGTCGTAGGTGGCTTAAGGGGCTGGTAGCCCTTTCTGCAGGGACCCCACTGGGGGTCCCCAAGGTTCTGCTTTAAGTAACAAGAGCGAGCCACGTCACAGTGGAGGTCTAAGGTTCTCGGCAACATGCTGACCCACACAACTCGTCCCCCTGGTGGTCACCTTCCCAGAGACCCAGTGGACCTGCTTTCCACACCACGGCTACTGTTCCACACCCAGGGAGCCACAGCAGGCCTCTGGGGACACGGCAGGACCCGAGGACCATCAGGCATGTCTGGATGCTCTACTTCCCTGGGCCCCGACCCCTCACCCAGTCCCAGAGACCAACTGGGAAGCAGCCACTGGGCTTCTTTTAGTCTTAAAGATAACAGATCTGAGCATAAGACAAACAGACTATTAAATTTCCTGGCCACACCAGCAAACCTTGAGACACAGAACAGGCTCCATTTCCAGTTCCATCAGGAACACAATGTCCCTAAGGAGGTGGAGCTCTCAACAGGAGATCTGCACCCTGTCACATGACGGTGGCTTTGGGCACTTTCCAGGAGAAGCTAGAGGCGAGTAGCATGAAGCCTACCTGTCTCCCTGGAGACCCGGAGCTGCTGGCCATTGCAGAAGGCGCCCCGGCCCCTCTGGCCCGTGTACAGCCGCTCTTCTGTGCAGTGGTAGATCACGCCGAACTCCAGCTGCAAGGTGCAGGGGCAGGAAGAAAGCACATGAGGACTTGGGAGGTCAGAGAGATCCAAGGACGAAGACAGCTCTAGAGCTCAGTCTAGTGCAACGGCGAGAGGGCAGGAGAGTGACGAGGGGACAGGAGCGTGACGAGGGACAGGAGTCACCTTTCTCAAGGGAAAGGAGAAGAATAGCACCTGGAGTTCAAACCAGACCTGGATGCAAAAAGGTATCTCTTCTCTTAACAATTACACTTGAAAATATGTTACGATAGGCTGGGCGCGGGGGCGCACACCTGCAATCCCAGTAACTGAGGAGGCTGAGGCAGGAGGATCACAAGTTCAAGACCTCAGCAACTTAGCAAGGCCTTGTTTCAAAATATAAAATAAAAGGGCTAAATATGTAGCTCAGTGGTAGAGCACCCTGGGTTCAATCCTCAATGCTGCCAAAAAAATAATTAAAAAATAATGAGTCTACATTAAAATTATCATAACCGAGCATTAATAACCAATGCGTATTGAGCAGTCTTCTTTCTCTACAAAGGCCTTTTTTGTTCTGGAGACAGTGTCTTGCTATGTTGCCCAACCTGGACTCAGCCACCCTGCCGCCTCAGCTTCCCGAGTCGCTGGGACTACGGGAGCATGCCACTGGTCTGGCTAGAAAGGCCTTTTTTCCTGGGGGGAAAACGCTACCCGTGACTCTAATCAAACACCATCAGAAACTCTCCAGGTGGATGATGCATGAAGAATCATGAACACTCCCATGGAGCCAACAGAACACAGAGGCCAGGGCAGCCACATAAAGACAAGTCACTGTCCAGAGGGACCCGTCCTTGAGTGGGCAGAACACAAATAGCAGCAGCATCCTTAAAGTGAGGACCAACAGCCTCCCAGCAAGAAATGGCACAGAGGAGAGGCCAGTGTGGCCCGCGATGGGACCCCACACACCTGTCTCCTCCCTCTGCCTGCAGTCAGCATATGGGTCAACACACACACAACCCCCCCACAAGCACACACACACACACACACACACACACACACTCGGTCTAGAGTGAGCCACATTCACATCTCTCTGGAACATGGAAAGCTCCAGATCAGATGCCTGAGGATGGTCTTGGCTGGCACTGGGGTGATTCAATCACATGGAAGGGTCCCACCCTACAGCAAAAGGGACCAGTCAGCTAGTGCCTGCAGACAGCCTGCAGCTTCCCAGTGACCCTTCTTGCCCAGTCTCCTGCACTGGCTTTAACAGGGTAAGTCTCAAAAGGTGCTGGTGGAGACCAGCCTGTGGCAGGCCCCAAGACCCAGGGAAATGTCCTGGCATGCTCAGGAATGGAGGAGCGGTTCCCCTTCTCAGGAGCTATCACTACCAGCAGGCACCTCCTGCTGTCCACAGGGACACAGGACCAACCAGCAGACCTAGACGGGCAGAGGACCTGGTCATCCTCCTGGATATGACCTCCTTCCAGCAGCCTGCTCTCAACCTGCTGGCAACCTGGAGGCCATGAGCCCTAACCCTTGTGGTGCTGCTAGGCCTCCACATTCACTGGTCTCAGTGATGACACTGACCAGAGAAACCCGGGAACTGTCCAATTCCCCCATTCCAATCCTCACTGATCTCCAACTTAGGTGTTCAAGGTGCGTGCAAACTTCTGTTTCTGAGCTGGGCAGCCGTGTGGACACTGAGAAGAACACCTTCTAACAGGAGATGAGGAAAAGGCTTTGGTTCCCAGCCCTGTTCAGATAATTAACCACCGGAAAGGAAGGCTCCCACAGCGATGCCGCCTGAACCGGTTACCAAAGGCTGAAGTGCGACCCAGGCCTCTCCGGCAGGTCTCCTGACACTGCTTAGTTCAGAAGGTCTCTGGGAACCCTGAAAGAGCCACGCTCTCATACTAGTAGCCAGGGGAAGAGAAGGAAGAAGTAACAGAATACTGAGATCCAAAACCTTGTCCAAAAATAGGAGCTCCTCTTGGCTTGTGACTAGATCACACGCTCTGGGGGGTCAAACAGACACTCGCTTGGATCATCTGCTTCAGAATATCTCCTTCCACAAAAGGACCTGGGTGGAAGCACTCTGCCGGCCACCTGCAGCGGTGAGGGACTACAGAGACCCAAATGCACCCACCGCCATGGTCAGTGCTCGCTTCTTTCCTGAGGTTTGGACACACACACTCGGATTCACTAGTCACGACTGAGGCACACGGCAAGAGGCAGGACTGCAGAAGTGGAGACCAGGGCTGGGGCCTCGTACCTCTTGGTGGACAGCAAACCCGATGCTGACGGCCACAGTGGGGAACCTACAGAGAAAACAGAGGGTTTACGAACCGATCGGGAGCACCAGCCCCAGGTGCTGAAGCCCCAGGGCCAGGCGGCTCCCCTGCACACGGGCCCTCTCCACACTCTGGCTGGACTTAGGTTTTTAAAAACAACCTCTCACAATTTCACTAACTGCTGCCAAGAAAAACGGATTTAGCTGGCCATGTTGTCGGACAGCTGACCTTGGAGGAGATTGTCATGAAGCAGGCGAGCCAGCGGCCCTCTGAACACACAGCCACCAGGCCTTCAACAATCAGCCTCTGGTTCTCAGGGACCTAAAGGGAAGCAGAGACCTCCCAAAGGCCAGCCCCCATTCCCAGTGAGGTGCAGAGGTCCCAGGAGGTGACATCACGGGCCCTGGGTGGCAGCCTCCACGAGGAGGCCACAGGCTACTTTCTAATACCAGTAACACCCTGACTGTGTTCCCAGAAGTTCATGGTGGGTGAGCCACAGAGGTAGAGGGACATTTCTGTCACAGTGCGTCTGCAGTCTTACTTGGTGATTCTGTTGCGGCTGCTCAGATAATCCCTCCTTGATGTTGGAGTTCCCAGAGCTTAGACATAGAAGGAGCAGGGAAAGGCCAGTACAAACTTGCAGGTACACATGAGCATCTCCTCCTGCCACCTGACTAAAAGGCCATGCTGGCCACTACCTGGTCACTATGACTGCTCCAGCTATGGTCCTGGGGTTCTGGAATTGCCAGATCAACATGAGAGCCTCTTTTCAGCTGCCTCTCTGGCCCCAGGTCCCCCTGCAGGATGCAGAGGGAAGCCCTGGAGAGCACGGGGCCACCAGGGTCCACTACAGACAGGGCTTAGCCACTGCATCCCTCACAAGCACCTTGAATGACAAGTTGGACAGGACTAACGAGGCTCTGCTGGGTGCGACACCCAGGTAGGGACTCTTGCAGGGGCCACGCTTGAGTTGATATGACAGCCCAATAGCACCAGGCAGCACGACTCCATGGACAGGAAAGGGTGACCCTGTCTGGGTGACTGAGCTCTGGAGGTAACACCATCTGGAAAGCAGTCATGCTTGCCAAGGTGCTCAGAGGGACGTTACGTATAAACACTGTGACGGCAACCTGGGGTAGCACCAGTAGCCAGGCGCCCCGTGGCCTGGCTCTGCCCATGCTTCCAACAGAGCCCAACTGTGGCCCAAAGCCCAGGTGTGGCCCGTGAGCTCAGGACTGGCCCAACCTGTGGGACGGGAGTCTCTCCAGGGGCTCCAGGCACCACCCAGTGGGAGACCAGCCCTCTGCAGAAGCCACATCACGCTCCATGACATTGGGTCATTGGCCACTTGTACTGACCCTGATAAGCAGCACGGGGCCCACAACCGCCACGTCAGGGAGCTCCCAAGGTTGCACCTGTCACCTCCCCAGTCCTACAGCTCTGTTCCCTGCCCCACCTCCCCTGGGCTCCCAACCTCCCAGAATCTCCTGCTTTCTGTAACCTGAGCTCTGCTCCTGTCCTGAAAGTGACTCAAATCTCATCAGCGTGTGCCACTCTCTGCACCTCAACTTGGAAGTTGCTGGGTGGCTGTCTTCTACCCACCTGCTTTTAAGTGGCACTTCGTAAAGCCAGCCAACATTAAATAAAACTTTTATTTATTTTTTTTTTAGTACTGGGAATTAAATCCAGGGCCTCAGACATGCTAGGCAAGCGCTCTAACACTGAGCTATATTCCCATTTTTATTATGAGACAGGGTCTTGCCAAGTTCCTGAGGCTGGCCTTGAATTTGAGATCCTCTGCCTTGGCCTCCTGAGGCACTGGTATTACAAGTGTATACGACTATACCTGGCAAACACTTTTTTTCCACATTTTTTATTGGTGCACTATTGTTGTGCATAAGATAGGATTTGTAGTACATATTTGTACATACACACAATATAATAATATAATCTAGCCAGCCAGTACCATTCCCAGCACTTCCCCTCCCACCTCCCTTTCCTCTACTGAGCTCCTTTTGATTCAAACACAACATTTTAAAAACAAGTATTCCTTACCTATATTCTGTAAGTGTCTCACAAATGGAAAAAGCTTTTTAAGTTTCTCAGGGTTTGATAATAACCTTTATGAGACTATAAACCCTCGTAGGTCTGTCCACATACCCTGACTTCAAAAGCCTGCTACTGAAGACAGGCCCTCCGAGGAAGCAGAGCCCTGAGGGGGTGCTCCCAGCCGCACTCACCTGTGCACGAAGTTGCAGGTGCCGTCGATGGGGTCGATGATCCACGTCGGGCTCGGGGTGAGCACACACTTGGCCCCAGAGGCTGTGGCTTCTTCTGCAATGAACCTGCGGTTGGGGAGCACAGCCTGAGAAAATGTGCCAAAAAGGCCAGGGGACAGGCGTCAGACTGCTTCCAGTTCTGCTAGAAGAAAGAGGGCTCCTTCGATTTCATGAGGGTTTTTCAGGGTCAAATGGAGGCAGAGCCTTTAAAAGACCGGTCAGTTGCTGACTCAGTGGGACTGAGAGCAACAGGGCTGGGGTGAGGGTCAGGGGGTGAGGCTCAGTCGCAGAGCTTGTGTTCAGGGCCCAGCGCTGCAAATCACACACCAGACACCACCAGACTGACCTCAGCAGGGGAGCCGTCAAGAGCCCAGCAGACCTGCTGACAGTGAGGACCTGGCGTCAGGCCTCCCACAGCAGACGCGCAACTGTGTTCCCTTGAGTCTAGAAAGAGCAGGCCTGTGAGGGAGATGGGAGACTGAGAGGCGCTGGCCTGCAGGGCCGGGCCCAGGCCTCCAGCTGCCGCTTTCCTTCTGGCATTGCTGTGCCTTGGGGCACAGGTGACAACCGTCCTTGCCATCCAGCTCCACAGGCCTGCACCTCCTGGTGCACCCAGACACCTTCCCCACTCTCCCTTCCCTGGCCTCCAGAAAGCAAGTGAGGCTGGCAAGGGTGCGGTTACCAGGACACCCGATGCCTGCTGTCGTGAGGTGCCCAGCAAGGTCCCCCTACTCCAAGTGCCCTCCAATACTCCTTCTACAGGGACATGGCCGCCTGCTCCAGCCTCCTGCTCCTGCACTCTGCAGTGGGCCAGGGTACTGAGACCTTCTGTCAATGAGGCCCCTAAGCTGTCCTCACAAGGGAAGGAACCCAACAGGAAAATCGAGACCTCAGGGTCAACGGGCACCTAAAGAAACTCAGCTTTCTCCAAATGGCACCCAGCTGCTCGGTCCAGACACCAAGAAGTCCTCACCCTTCCTGCTCCCCTCTGTCCACCCTCCCCGCGGTGACCTTCCTCCAGCAGGGGTCTGCCTCACGGCACAGCCTCTGGCACTTCCTCCCGCTGCACACGAGGCAGCCTGGCACTGGGCATGCAGGGGCATGTCCAGACTGTCCAAGTGCGCTGAGGGCGGGGCCCTGGTGCCAGGCTGCGGTCAAGGCAGCCACCAGCACACACTGGGTCTGTATGGAAATGCAGAGCCCTGCTGTTTTCTAGTAGGTTCTCAGGCCTTGTCCACCTCACCATCAGAGAAAGAGCGCTGCCCACAAAACATTTTTACAAAGAGAGAAAAGGAGTAAGAAGCTTCTCATGGACTGCTGGCATCTGGCGCTCTACCCAGCAGGCTGCTGGGCCCTGGAGGAAGTCACTTTCCCCAAGGAACCTGTGCCCTAAGGTCTGGCCACAGTGAGCTTGCAGACAAGATGCACAGGATGCCATTGTAGTGGCTGCTCCACCCAGTCCCCAGTCATTTACCAAAGGGGGCTGTTTGAATTTAAATTAAAATTAAAGGGCTGGGATGTGGCTCCTGGTAGAGCACTTACTTACCAGGTATGAAGCACCACTAAAAAAAAAAAAAAAAAAATATTCCAGCAACTGTCACAGTAAGTGATGCCAACAGACCCACGTCTGCCAGGGCTGTGCTCAGCAGCAGCGCCTGAGACAAGGGCAACCTGCCTGTATTCTCACATCACTTCTGTCCACACGCACTGCAATGTTCCAGGCCCCTGCAGCTCCAGGGCTAGCGTCACCCTTTCACAGGCACCAAGTTCATGCTCTGTACACCCTACACCCTGGCCCCCTTTGTATAGAGCATCTGACAGTAACCCGTGGACACACACGTCACCTCAGATGGCTGTGTCCACCATCCCTCTGGGCCTCTGGGGAAATCCGCAGTGAGCAGGCAAGGCATGGGGACATGAACACCAAGCTAGGTAATGCAGCTGGCATGGTCTTCCCCTGGGACTCGGGCTCCATGCTTCCCGTGGGCATCACATGCCCCTCTACCTGGGAGGTGAGCCCTCCCATCCTGCCACTGCCTCTGGCCCAGGTGTGGGTGCACCCACCAGAGCCCATGGCCAGGGACTGGTATCCCCAGACAGGTCTAGATGGAACGAAGGCAGGGTGGGGCTGGTGCAGGAGCCTGCATGCCTGAGCGAAGGGAACAGGCAGGAGCAGAGCCGAGAAGGATCTCAGGCAGGGACTGTGTAGGTGGCATCCACTCTGCCACCTCCCTCAGCCAAAGACTCCTGCTGCTGCTGCTGCTGCGGGCTTTTCCTTTCCTGGAGTGGCTTATAATTATGGTTATAAAGAAAACGGTCCACACCCTAAAAACACACACAAGGAGTGAATGCTAAAGCTTAAACTGGGCACAAGGGTGACGGAGGGTGACAAAAGCAACAGAGACATGGCTCAAGAGAAGAGGGAGCAGGAAAGACTCACATACACAAGTTCCCAGGAAGTGGGAGGGTGCCGGCTACTTTTTCTTTCCGAGTTGATCTCAAGTAGGAGACTAGAGAGGAAACTGCTGGCCCCTGAAGGAGGGCGTGCGTGTCTACGTACAACAGTGTCTGCCCTGCATCGGACTGCCTGGGCAGCCCTGGCCACCCTGCACATCTCAGGACACCAGGAGGCCTGTCTGTCCTCTTGCAAGCCCATGTATAGAACCCCAGCTGGGGCCCACTGCACGCCTGCTAACCATGCTCCACTCTGCACTTGATGGAGCACTAGAGGTACCCACCTGAGCCCTGGGCTTTTCCAGGAGTCGATCATTCAGCCCTCAAGTCCCCCTCTGCCCACCTGTTGTCCACTCTACTCGTAAGCCCCCTCGCCTCCCTACTGGCCTCCCAGGAGGGGTGCAGCAGCCTGGCTTCGGCTCCTAGTGCTGATAGCAACAATGGCTGCATCCCGTCTTTGAAGGCACTAGAATACTTCCATGGCAGCCACAGCAGGTGGGGGAAGAAGTGGAATTTTGTTTACTTAACCCTGACTTTCTTCATAAAAGCAAATGTCTATGGAATGGGAAAAAACGTTCTACCACTCTCTGCAGGACTTGGGAGAGTCTGCTCTCGACAGATATGTGACATGAGACACCTTCTTATAAGCCGCCAGGACCTCCATGTAACAGAACCAATGCACGTGACTTCACTTAGGGAGCTCAGAGACCCTCTGGAAAGCCCGTCTAACAGACAGGAGAGGAGCACCAAGCGGCGTTGGAAGGCTCGTTACAATTACAGCCACAATTGCTGTAGCCCAGTTTAAATACTGGCCTGCTTTTTCCAATAGTCATAACAAAACCTTCCTGGTGATTTTGATAGCCGAGTACTTCTAAGAGTGTCTTGTTCCCTGGCTTCTCAAGAGTGTCCCTCTGTGACAGGAGGGTCAGCATGGTCTCCATCCACTGCAGAGCTAACCGATGCTCCTCAACCACATCTTCTCAAGCTGCAGCCTGGTTCTGCTCTGACCCAGGGATAACATGAGAGCCCAGGGTAGAGCATATGGGAACGACAGGAAGTGACGTCCAGCTGCTGGTGGTGGGGATCCGTCTTCTCCATGTGGAGGACTATCAGTCGTTCTGCCTGATACGTGCCTTCAGTGGACATGGCACTGTGCTGGGACTCTGCAGAGCTCAGGGTGCACGCCCCTGCAAGAGGCAAAGAAGGTGCTGGCCAGCCAGGGCAGTCTGAGCCTCCATTTTCTTCCTCCACTTGAGCCACCCACCTGGTGACTTTGGACCAGCTCTCAGGAGGGGACGACGTCACGGTTACAGCAGTGTTATTACCAGTAACAGGTCCACGTGGCTACCAGATATCTCAAAGGAGCTACACTTGCATAGCAAGCACCAGGCCCTGGGTTCAATCCCAGTCCTGAAAAAGAACAAAAAGCCCAACCAACAAAAAGTATGTCTGCAAAGCAGCCATGCTTGGCTCTCACTCCAAATCACAGACCAAAAGCAGGCTCAGGGATCCTGACGAAGCCAGGGCGAGCCTGAGATTTGCTAGTGAGGTCAATGTCACCAGTGTCTCCAGAGACCCAGCTGCTTCCTAGCACTGTGCTCTGCAGGCTTGCCTCTGCCATCACTACGGCGTGTCAAAGGGTGCCACCGCATCTCAGGGACAACCTGGGTCAGTTCCTCCTTCACAGGTGAGGAATTCAGGGCCCTGAGAAGCGCAGTGACTGGTCGGAGCTGCTGGGGCTGAGGGCACAGGCAAGTTGGAACCTTCTTGTTCTTTGAGTGTGTGTGCACTCGTCTTCCAGGTCAGGGACCCAAGATTTCGAAATTTCACAGATGAGTCAAATAAAATGATAAAACTTCCAGGAACCTCCAGGTTCTCTTTTATTTTATTAAAAACAAGAAAGTTGCAATAAATCTTCAATAATGTTTCACAAAAGACTAGAAATGAGGAAGGATCAAAGCTCAGACTGCCAGTCCTTCCTAAGAAAGGATGACAGGCAACCTTACACTACCATATTGCTTCAGGGATGTTATTTAAGTTCTTGAAGGCAGAAAAATAACAACACCTTACTTATAATATGCATTTTTCCCTCATTGCAAATATATCAACTGGCCTATGGTCTAAAACAATTCAATTCGCATTTTGTTATTTTTATTGTTGTTTTTGTTTGTACTGTGTGGGATTGAACCTGGCAGTGCTGTACCACTGAGTTACACCCTCAGCTCTTTTTATTTTTCATTTTGAGACAGGGTCTCATTAAGTTGCTCAGACTGCCTCAAACTCCAGATCCTCCTACCTCAGCCTCCTGAGTCACAGGGATTACAGGCATGTGTCACCATGCCCAGCTACTCTGGTATTTAAAAGAAAATCGTAGTTACATGGTTCAGTGGAACATGCCTGTAATCCCAGCAACTTGGGAGGCTGAGGCAGAAGGATAGCAAGTTCAAAGCCAGGCTCAACAACTCTGTGACACCGTGTCTCAAAATAAAAACAAAAGAGCTGAGGACATAGCTCAGTAGTAGAGCGCCATGTCTTAACCCCAGTTTAAAAAAAAAAAAAGGGCTGGGGATGTGGCTCAAGCATAGTAGTGCGCTGGCCTGGCATGTGTGCAGCCCGGGTTCGATCCTCAGCACCACATACAAACAAAGATGTTGTGTCCCCTGAGAACTAAAAAATAAATAAATAAATAAATAATAAAAATCTTGTGGTGCTGTGGCACACGCCTGTAATCCCAGTGACTAGGGACTCTGAGGTAGGAGGATCGAAAGTTCAAAGCCAGCGCCAGTCTGTAATTTAGCAAGGCCCTAAGCAACTCCGTGAGACCTGTCTCAAAAAATAAAAAGGAATGGGGATGTGGCAAAGAGGCTGAGTACCCATGGGTTCAATCCCTGGTACAAAAACAAAACAAAATAAACAAAAAACCTCTTAGATATGCTAAAAACCATTTTACTTAATTTGAATTTTTGAAATAAACTGAGCATCAGCACTGGCCCTCAGAGCCCAGGAAGAAGGGTGTGGCAAGGGACCTTGGGGGTGCGGCGCAGTGCTGACCACGGAGTGCACTTTGGGACCCACAGTTCCTGGACAAGCGAAGGCATCCGACTCACCCCGACCGAGGCTGGGCGAGTCTGAAGGAGACACTTCCGGGGACCCCACACGCCCTCTCTACCATCCTCCACTCAGAGGGGCTTCGGCGTCCGGGGGCCCCGCGGATGAAGACGCATGTCCACCTGCGTGTACAGCAACGCATGCTCGCGCAGACTGATGGCGGACTCCCCCGGCGGGCTCCCACGTTTCCAGGACCGCAGAGCAAACCCGCAGCACCTGCTACACCGCCTGGCACCCCGGGGACGACCTCACGAGGCCCTGCCCATGCCAGCCCTGCTGGCGACACCTCTTCCCGGACGGAGGAGCCGGCCCTTGCCGTCTCGTCTGACACACGACTGAGGCCGCAGCAACCTCCAGGGTGACAATGATACAGTCCTAGACGTAGCTGGCTGGTGGCTGCGGCACCTTCCTCTCAAAGAATACAAGCAAACTATGGGCTAAATTCTTTAGCCATCATGAGAACTGTGTCCTTACAAAGACCTGGGGGACACAGCGCCCGTGTCCCCATGTGTTTTGGTCTGGGTGAGGGGAACCCGTGTCACTATACACTGGCAATGGAACCGGGTCCTGTGTGGCTGACGTCTGCCGTGTCCCGTCCTCCTTTGGAGGCAGGGTAGGCACAGCTGCCAGGGATGTCCCTGCTCCCGGACTCTCTGGGTCAGGCTTGGCCATGCCTCTGGAAACAGGGGTAGCTTAGTGGAGGCGCCAGGCACCTCCCGAGCAGAAGCATGTGCGCTTAAGAGTAGCACCTTCTGTCTTTGATCTGCGGACACGAGGTTACCGCGCGATGAGCAGGAAAACAGGTGGGCTCACTCCCCTGCTCCGCAAGGCCCAGGACAGACTGCGGCCAGGGGTTTCATGTCCACTGGGCAGTGACAGTCAGCAGCACCTCCGGATGGGCCTGGCTGTGTATGCCGAGTGTGTCCCCCGAGGAAAACGCTCACCTGTGGGAAGGAAACCGCTTTCGCAACTCAGAAATAATCAAATTTTCCACGAGGTGATCCGTCTCTGTCACAAGATCCACGGCTGATGTTTTTGTTGAGACTCGTTTCTCCTCCGTCAAGGCTTTCCTGATGATCTGAAATGAGAATGTAACAGCAGGTGGCACCTCATACCCAGAGCTCACGTCCCTTCCCCCACCACTGCCTCTCTGGCCAGCTCTGTGCTGCCAGGTGGCTTATCCCAGACCCCTCGGGGGTCAGCATCCCCAGGCTCCTGGGGCCACCAGCCAGGACTCCTCTCACAAGACAGACTTGCCTCTCCATGTCTCTCCTACCTGTGAAACAAGGTTTCCTTGGAGGAAAGGAAAAACATGGTTTCCAAAAAAGGAAAGTTAGCTCAGACCTGTCCAAAATAAGAGGGTGGAGCACACCTGTGGCCCTGAGAATCCTGTGCACTCTACCCTGAGACCTGAATGAAACCTTCCCTGTCCAGCTCACTTGATGAAGCGAACAGGATGCCACATGTTCCCGAGTCCACACCACCCGTGTGCACACTGAGGAGCAGGGGCCTGCAGCTATGGGGGCAGAGCCGCCTCTCAGCTATCCTGCACTAGTCCAGGTCCCCACTTCACAGAGACATGCAGAGGGATGGGAGGCTCAGGCGCAGGATCCAGCCACCAACACATCCTGTCTAAATACAGGGGTGAGTACTGGGGGGCAGCAGAATCTCCCAAAGGCTCCTGGGACCCACAGGAGACCTGAACAGGAAGCCCCAGAGGCAGTGACTCCATCCCCAGCCCCTGCAGGAAGGTCAGCTCTAGCTGGGACTAAATCACAACCTTGCTTCCGGCCAGACCTTTCTTCTCCACTTCTGTCTGTCCACAACTGCATGTTGCCCTCATCATGAGCAAGGCAGGACACCTAATGAGGAGATCTCTGCTTACCAGCTGCCACTCAAAAATCCTTTATTTCTTTCAAAAGCAGCACCAAGTGTCCAGCCTCAAGCACCTGGCCCACTCCGTGCCACCTGCACACACCTCCTGAGTCCTTCTGGGGTCAGGCCATGTATGAATGACTGCACTGGAGCAGAGGCCTTAGAGAGGAGCAGGCAGGCAAATGGGACCTTGAAGGGCCCCAGGGCCACAGCACCCAGCAGGCCCTCCTAGTGCTGGCTGGTCCCATACTGAGCCTTGACAGGTACAAATCTTGGTTGCTAAACAGATGCACAGAATGGATTTGGAACGTGATGGGAAATACAAGAGGCTCACAGTCCACATTCCAAGGACCACTTACGCCCCGCAGCTCCACCCTCTGACACCTGGCAATTGCAACATCCTGCTCAGCACCCGGTCCTTCTCACTCCAATTTGCACACGGCAGTCTCTTTCCAAAAGCATCGCCACAATCCTTTGATGATAAAGTTCACACTCTCATAGCCTCTGCGGGTCTCCAGGAACCCGGAATTCTGGGCTGGTCCACAGGGGTTGGCACACAGCTGGCATCCTGTATGGTGATGCGATTCAGTGTGGGAGGGGCCTGCTTCTGCAGGAGTGTGTGTGTGTGTGTGTGCATGTGTGTAGTCAGAAAGGCCCCTAACCAGAGGATGTGGTCTGAGTGGATTTGGCACCAGAGCTTCTGGGATCTTGTTGAAATGGGCTGGGGTCTAAGATCCACATTTCTTTTTTTGAGGTACTAGGGTTGAATCCGGGGGAGCTCTACTACTGAGCTACCTGTCCAGCGCTTTACTATTTTTGAGACAGGCTCTTCTTGCTAAGTTGCTAAGGCTGGCCTTGAACTTGTGATCCTCCTGCCTCAGGCTCCCAAGTTGTGGGGATCTGGAGTGAGCACCACGGTCCCTGGCTGGAGAGCAACATTTCTGACAGACTCTGCTGGACACCAGTGTTGGGAGCACACTTGGGTGCAGTGGATGGAGCAGCCCTCACCCAGGGAGGAGGGTACCCAGGAGCTGGGATGGTCACTTGGCAGGCAGGCGTCGGGCAATTCACCTGGACTGTGTGTCCTTTCAGGAAGCGGTCACAAAGCCACAGGCACGTATTCCATGGCCATCAGCAGCTGCCCTACGGAAGCTGGCCTGAGGGTTCAGACAGATGGATCTCTCCGCCGTAGAGAGCTGTGCCAGCCTCCCTCCTGATGCCTACATCCTACCTATCCCATAATACGCAACTGTTATTTTTTGCAACCAAGAGTTGAGGAACAATGCCCACCTAGCTCCGTGTGGGATGGGCAGCACTATGAGAGGCAGAGAGAGCAGGGCCACTGTAAGGACGTCAGAGGAGGGACTGCGGGCATCGTTGGGCACCACGGCCCCCACCCATGCCAGGTCTGCTCCCTTCTGGCCCTTCATCTCATCCCACTCCCACAGGGCACCAGGGATTCTGTCTGTGCTGGCCTTCTGTCTCCACCTGCCCCAGCTGCAGTCATCCTATGAGTGGGGGGGCTGACTGTGCTTCTCTCCCTGCACTGGAAGCTTCCACCAGCAGAAATGTCTCTGCTGTGGGCTCTTCCCCTTGCAGCCAGAGCTGCGCCTGGTGTGGAGGGGGTGCACAGAAGTCAATGGGTGAAGGAATGAAAGACGTCAGACAGTAGGAGTGAACTGGGCCACGCATGTCCCTGCACCACACCATGTCTACGTGGACACTGACAACCTTCATCTGTCTGCTCCCTGTGGTTGACTTTCTTGTTGTCTGGATGAGAGACTCTGAAGTAGCTAGGTGCAGAGGTACACGCCGACATCCCAGCAATTCTGGAGGCTGAGTAAGGAGGATCCAAAGTTCAAGCAACTTAGTGAGACCCTGTCTCAAAACAAAATAAAAAGGACTGGAAACGTGGCTCAGTGGTAGAGCACCCCTGGGTTCCATCCCGGCACCACGACACACACACAGAAAGTCCCGACAGGCCTAAAGCCACATCTTCTGGCTTCGCCAGGGAGCCCTGCCTCTGGAGCCAGCCAGAAACTGCTGCAGGCCCTCATGCCAGCTCCCACCATGATGCGCTCCCACACCTCAGCACCCACGCTGCCCTGACGCGTCCCTGCTGGACAGGGGAAGTCAGCCCTCGCAGGCAGACAGCTTTCGACTTGGCCTTGTGGCAGAGAGAACTGACCCCAGATTACCCAGGCCCCCCTTTTCCCTTTTGGGAACAGAAGCCCCGTGTTGTAGCCAGGTGTGGAGTTGCCTGGGGGTCTACACTGCCCTGTGCTGCTGGGTGTGGCTAGGGGCTCAATGCTGCCCAAGAGCAGATGGACAGTGGCCATACCTGCAAGCTGAGTCCCACCCTCAGAGGACATTGCAGTCAGTTCCTATGTCCCCTGCTTCCCCCCCCCCCCCGCCAGTCTGTGATGTGTGGCGCTGACAGGGCAGCCATGGCCACTGCAGGAAGGTGCCACCACCTCAGAACCAGGAGAGGGGCCCAGGAAGCACAGCCACCTGCACCCTGCCTCCTACTCACTGGACGAACGTCTGTTGCTGATGCCTATGAGCCTGGCAGGCGGAGGATCAGCCTCCAACCCGGCCCCATGACCTGCCGCCGCACCTCGCATCCATGCTCCTGCCCTGTGGCATCTTTTGCCCTAGAGTCTCCTTTCAGGGCCATGGTCAGCGCCAGCCTTTCCAGGCCTACTGCCCTCCTTTCCAACTTAGTTGAAGCGTCCCCCCCAACAAGCCATCTCCTGCCAACCTGGCTCGCCCAGAGGAAGACCTCGGCACTGCACGAGCCAGCCCAGGGGCTGCCAGAGCACGGTCACCTAGGAATCCCTGGGGTCTACTCATTTGGGTGCACGGCCCACAGGTGGGCGTGCAGTCGTGCAGGACAGATATGGAGGGTCTCCGTGAGTGTCCGCTGAATGAGCAGACAGGGATTTTCTGATGGCCACACTAGTGGCCTCAACGCTGCAGACTTCGGAGACGCCATATTCCTTTACTGTTTCTGGCGATGCTGGGGACGGACCAGAGCCTTGCAAGGGCCAGGCCAGCACCCCCTGCCATGCCCCCTGACAAACCAGGAAGACCCTTCAACAGGGGCATCTGCAGAGCCATCGCTAACCCCAAGATTCCAAACCACACTCGGCTCCTGCGTGACAACGAGGTAGGTGCTCAGGGTGAGTGGGCGGCTTGGGGACAGCTGCTGAAACCCAGGAGTGCCCACCAGAGGGACAGGGCCTAGCCACAGGCCTGCGAAGGCAGGAGACATGAGACTTGAGGAGCAACGTTCTGTCGTGGCTTTTCAGAACTTAGTTGCTCATTTCTGCTCTGTTAGAACATCCCGCTGTGTGTGCGCTTCAGGAAGGCCGCGGCAGGCAGCACCTCTGCCCCATCACCTCCCCGTGGCTCAGCAAGACCCTGTCTCCAAATAAAAAATAAAAAAGGGCTGGGGCGTGGCTCAGAGGTAGAGCGCTTGCCCAGCGTGTGCGAGGTCCTGGGTTCAATCCTGGTCCTGCCACACAAACCGCCTTCGACTGGCATGTAGACCACACCAGGCCAGTTCTGAAAGAACACGGATCTGACAAATCGTGACACCTCAGACAAAACCCCAAACCTAACAGGATGCTGAAAGACCGGTTTGCTTCCTAAGCTTTCCTACACTGAGAAAGGAGAGAATGGTGCTTCCGTGGAGAGCTGCACTTCACACACCCAGGGCCCTGCCCTTCAGCGGGGTGGAGGGGGGGAAGGGGCGGGACAATGGTGACCCCTGGGGAGTGACTACACCTCTCTCAGCGGTGGAGGTTAAGACCTTCTTGTTCTGGGGCGATGGGCAGTGTGGGCTGTGGGTCCACTGGTGCCCTCAGCCACTCGCTAATGCAGTGTGCACTTGGCAGGCCTGGTTCGAGTCTCCTCCCAAACAGCACTCGGTAAACGTTTAGCTCATAAAACACGGGCCTTCCATCGCTGAAGACTGAATTCCAGGCCCAGAAGAGAGGCCCACCTTGGCTGGAGCACCAGACACCCAGGGCCAACATGTCCAGCCAGAGGTCCTGCTCCTGCCCGCACACCATCATGGTCCTGTGCTCCTGGTCCTGGGCAATCTTCACACTGTCACTACAGAGCAGCTTGTGCAGCCTAGAACGTTGCCCTGGGGTCTAGGTTCCTTCCTCTCCAGCATGTGGAACAGCTCAGCCAAAG